GGATTTCTTGCTTTCTGTCTCTTGTCTTTCTGTCTGGCCAGTGCACATGTCCTGTACAAAAAAGTAGGCTAGGCTGAAGGTAGTAAGTCCAAAATATATACTGACTCCAATTCCGCACAGGTGTTTGTTCACGAGTCCAAGGTTGGTGTTCTGAGTTGGTGGGTCCTCCTAGTTGGATCCATCTCAATTTGGTGACCCAGGCCCTACCCATTTTGTGGCTTTGTCATCCCATACAGCTCCGTGACCTGTGTGTTTGGCAGATAGAAAGGGAAAGAAAGAAGGGGGAAGGCAGAGTCTGTGGAGACAGCGCCCGTGCCTCCTTGGAGTCTGGGAGTGTTGCACCTCACTTCCATTCACATCCTACAGCTCGTCATCTTGCTATGCTTCATGATAAGGTAGTCTGAGAGTGGTAGACTAGCTCCGTGCCCAGGAAAAACAAGACCTAGACTTTGGTTAAGAGTAGTCTCTTGGTACCAACAGATGGCGTAATGGTTAAGTTGCTGGACTCCCACATAGTCAACCATGGTTTGCGTCTCAGACCCGACAGCTTAAAACTCATGCCAGAAGTGTGTGTGTGTTTGTGTGTGCGCACGTGCCCAAAATCCCAAGAGGAGAATAGAGGAGAAGGTGTTACAGTGTGCCTATCCCCTCCCCGGGGAGAGGGGTGATTTCTCGCTTTCTATTTCTCTCTGTCTCTCTGGTGAATGCACATGCCCTATAGCAAAATTCTCTCTCCAAAAAAAAGAATTGTCTCTTGCATCGTGGGTGACATTTCCAGTATACAAATATAGGGGCAGACGCAGAATAAAGCAAACTCCCCATGCTGGTTGTAAGGTCACTCTGCCTGCCCCACTGATGAAAGCTTGTTGGAAGGCAGTGGCAGGATGTGGAATCATAGAGGCCATTCTGACATTTTAAAAAAGTACTTTTAAGCTTCAGGATTCTGTAAATGAGTAGAAGCCACAAAACATAGTGGAGAATTGCATGGACTTGAGCCAGACAGCCCGGCCTGGAATCCTGGACCTGCGGCTCCCTGACTATTAGTGTGCCTCAGTTTCCTCACCTCTAAAATGAGAATCACAATACGAGCAGTGCCTGCCTCATGGGATTGTTGGGAGGGTTAAATAAGTCCACATGTGTGTTGATGGCAAGGCCCAGGACACAGAAAGAGCTCGGTAAGTGTTGGTTGGCATAGAGTGTTAACTGTAAGCGATCGCACCCATCCCCTATGCAGCTGAGACTGGTCAGTAAGGCCCCAGGCCAAGGGGTCCTGGAGTCTTCATTTCGTCCCTCTGTAGCCTCCCATGAGCTGGCTCTGTCTCCTCTGACAAGCTCCATTTCTCCTCCTACTCCCTGGATTTCTCACCAGTGGTGCCCACAAGCCCTGTGTTGTAGTTTGGATATTGCAAAATGTTACACTGTTTTCTGTGTTGGGGTTTAGTTGTCTTGTAAAGGTGTTAAGTGGAAACCTAAACTGTATAGTTTGGATATTGCAAAATGTTACCCTGTTTCCTGTGTTGGGGTTTAGTTGTATTGTAAAGGTGTTAAGTGGAAACCTAAACTGTTCTTGCTGTCCCAGGGTGGGGCCTTTGTTATGGTGAAGTCCTAGGGTAGGGTAGGGTCCTTATGAGTTCTGTTGGGTTCATTAGAGGAGTAAGGAGACCATAACAGGCAAAACTTACAGACAGCGACTCTGCCTAAGATCTTGCCCTGGCCCGCAGGAGGTGTGGTGGTTAAGGCACTGGATTTCCACATGGCTGACCATGGGTCAAG